AAGGTGAAATAAATAAGGTTGGCAACTTACCCCTGGAGCCGGGTTAGCTTTGCAGAAAGGGCTTAGGCCCACCTTGCCACAGTCGGACAGGCTTTCATTAAAAGTGACTTTGTCATTTCATCGACAACATCATCAGGTAAATCATCAGGGTTGTGGCGCAGAGGATCCTTTTTGTCTCCTGTATAAGTGCACACTAACCCGGAGCGGCGACTCAACGGGATGACCCGCCATGCGACCCAACACCAGACCAAATCAATGTCATTTAAGTTGTTCCCTGGCAGAGCTTTGATCTTTGCAAGGGTAGGGGCGAGCTTCTGGCGTTCTGCAGCTGACAACTTGTCGGGAAGCGGATGATTGGACTCAAGGCGCAGGGCGCGGAAGCCGGGCAGAGGGTTCTCATCAGCAGGAGAAGTATCTTGACAGTAGAACCAAGTCTGGTTCCAATCTTTGGGGTGACTCGGAGGTTATGCATAAAGAAAGATAGCGTCTCTCCGTCGTTGGATTGAGACCCCGCCTAGTTCCAAACTCGGTCCGTTGGAATATTCATTCTGGCGGTGCAAATAAAACAATTCCCTGAAAAGTTCCAAACTGGGTTCTTCTTCAAGGTACACCTCACATAACACTTGAAAGTTGCAGATGTTAGACATGGAATTGGGTCCGATGTCCTGAGGACGAAGATAAAAAAAGTGCAGAACATCTCCGAAAAACTTTGATTCGGGGGGCGAAAAGCCCCAGTTCATGTGATCCGTGAAGACAATGACTTCCCCTTCTTTAGGCTGAGGTTTTTCTTCTGTTGGATCAGGAGCCCGGTACGACATGACATCCTTCTTTGGCAGATAGCCGATTTTCACAAAATCATCGAGTGTGCCCTCTGTAATGATGGATTTGACCCAGTTGCATGAAGTGACTGTTTTTGGCGGCATTATGAACAAGGAAGCCTAATAAAGAGTAAATTTTCCGGTTCAAATTTAAGCCACAGGAAAAGTATTACAACATATATTCAGAATGGCGGCTTACAAAGGGGCCTAATGGTATATGACTAATTACGTCAGGTTATTTAAGCCGCCATGAGCAGTTTTGATGTTATCTATTGTGAATCACCGTTAAAAGCCGGTGGTATGAGCCGCCATGGCTAGGAGGATGTATTAAGACGAAGTTTTCTTGCTAAGTACCATACAAACAGGTTTCACATGTTGCAGCTATTATTTTGGATCAGTGGCTGTTCAGAAAAAGGGAATAAATCTAGACCTAAAAAACCAGTGCAATGAGTTCATAAGCTCTAAAAGGGATCTTTCTTACAGTAAAGGGGATCTGCTGGTATGAAAGGTAAAAGTAAAACAACTCCCGCATATGTTTTGTACCATTTCTGGCTGCGGTGGACATGCTAAGAAGAACACTATGAAGAACGCGACGAACAAGTCGAAACCCTAATGCGGATCTGAGATACAGGGAAGCAAGTACTTACAGATGCAGATTGACCACGGAGGGGCGCCATTATTTCTCTGGTTCGGTCAGGGTGATGCAGCAGCCAAGATGAGGTCGATGGTGCGCTTCGCGATGGCGGTGGAGCTCCAGCGGCAGAAGGTTACGAGAGGAGGAAGACAATGGAAAGGGAGAGAATGAGAAGAAGACTGGTCGCGAGTATTTATAAGGAAAGACTCATAAGTGGGCGCGAAAAACAAGGAGGCTGAAAACATGGTTATCCAGCTGCCCAGACGCCTCGATTTTCAGGATGGTTTTTAAGATAAGGATCTATTGAGATATGATTGGACAAAGTGTGAATTAATGGCAAGTGACGTCATGGCGGGTTATCACAGATCCAGAAGATGACGTCATGGCGGGTTATAAGCTCTCGCACAAATGAAGATCAGAAGATTTCTCCTAAGTATTGAAGAGTGACATGAACCAGTTCACTGGGGCCTAATGTTGGAGATATAACTATTAGGCATGACCCGCCGAGGAGGGGTCGGGTCATACCTAAGGCGATTCATCAATATGAAGCCCACGAAGATATTTGAAGATGGCGGTTCAACTAAGGGCTCAAGGCTCAAAGGCGACTTAAGGCCCATAGAGATAAACCGCCATGTGTGTATGACTTATATTGTAAGGCCAGAATAGATAGTCACCGAGCCGGACACTGTTTATGAGCCGGCCGGGACTCTATGAGCCGTTGGGCGTCGACCTCTGTATATAAAGGGACGACCCGGCGGCGGTTCAGGACAAGTAAGAACAGATCGAGAACTAGCTCAAGCGGATTCGCTCCCTGGTAATCGAGACATAAGCAATAAACTGGATCGTAGGCTTTTACCTTCACCGTAAGGGGCCGAACCAGTATAAACCCGATGTCCTTTGTCCCGCTTAACCCCTTTAAGATTTCTAGTTGCGATGGCTCCACGACTAAGTCCTTGCTAGGACATCTGCCATGACCTTTCCACGACAAGGACCATGCAAACCGTGTCTCCCTTAGAATATTGAACAAAATTCCTACGCTGCCATTATCATCACAGCAAGAAGGATGGAACAGTGTCCTATACCTCAGCACTCTTCGACACTAGTAGGCGACAAAACAATATATCATGTTGGGACAATTTGGGAGGGGATTGCATGATATAGGGTTAGAGGACATGGAAGAGCTGGCAAGAAAAGGTCCGCCGCCATCGACGGAAGGGGATCTCGTGGTCCAAAGTTAGAGATGTGAATACCTTACTGGACAAGGTCATTTCTGTTGATGGGAGAGGATTTCATGGTCCAGACCAAGGATGGAGAAGAGTTGGCTGGGAACACATCATCCGCTGCCACGGTTGGCGGCGGCGGGATGGCTTTAGGCTCGTTCGCGGGGACGAATAGCCTATTCGTTGAAGTTTTTTTTGCCAAAACCGACTATGTGCAGGGTGTAAATGAAAAATATACCATCCACGTGGTTGGGAACGAACCTGGGCCCATCCGTGGCACTCATTTTAAATCCAATGGCTCATAATGACTGATCGCATGATCACACCTCCAATCGAGATCTCATTCTAGTCTCCCCCGAGATGTGTTTGTGTGGGGCTGGCTACGAATTGTGTTGCATGGTAGCACTTCTCGCCTGTTGAGTGGGCCAAGTTCCTGGGAGAATCTACGCTCATTTGAATTGCTCACATATATTTTTTAAAAATATCAGGAATATATGCTCACATTTCACTTATCAAGATCCATAAAAAAACTTAATGTATCATAACTCTAGCTTGGAGATAGGTTTATATAATTATTTTGAAAAAAGAAATAAAATTCAATATTAACCTTTTTCTTATGTTCGGTTTCCATGACAGCTCGATACAACGGTGTTTCAAATTTAATGTAAAAGTTTTTTCTCGTTTTTCTCCCCTAACCACCCTAGGCAGCTAGGGAAAACTCTGTCCTCCGGCTTTCACTAGCGAGCCACACCATAGAGAGGGCGTGGAGAGAGAGAGAGAGAAGGAGAGAGAGAGAGAGAGTTGCATGCGGGAAGGGGGGAGTTAACACGCCTTAGATTATGGGATTTTCTAGAAACGCTAAAACGCCTTAGATATTGGAAGGAGGGAGCAATTATTATGTGTTGAAATGCTTTATACTTCTGATGAACTTTATAATGTATTCGATACTTTAAAAAAAGTTATGTCTGCGTTGGTATGCCTCTCATGATTGGTCCATATAGCTAGTAGTGTATTTATGTTCTGTATTTCACCTCATCCTATCTTGGTCAAGCATGTTGGTTATGTTAAAGTTGTGTACTCTCTTCGTTTAAAATACTTATCGAAGAAATGGATGTATCTATACATATTTTAGTTTTAGATACATTCATTTTTATCCATTCTTCGACAAGTATTTTCGGACGGAGGGATTCTTAACACGGTAGTTGTCATGTGAGCCCGGACTCGTCTCCTTTTGAAGGACAGTAAATTCAAAAAAGATAGCAAAAAATACAAAAAAATGTGAATAAAAATTGGCATGCAAGATGCTTGGGTGCGCAAGATTCGTGCAACTTTTGGTGGTGATCAGATCGTGCAATTTTTTTTTCAAAGTTTCACAAAAGACCTTTTTTTTGGCCGATAGCTCCTCGAATGTCTAGCTTGACACTTCGTCAGATCAGCAGGACCCTGCCTGACATCGCCGACTACCCGCCGCGCGCCGCCGACCAGCAAGCGCGCGGGCGCGCTGCAGCGCCGCTCTGCCCGGAATACAGGAGAGGCGGCGCGAGATGGAGGCGCAGCTTCCCGTCCAGGGCAACCGCGCGCAGCGTCGTGCCGCTGGGCTCCGTCGTGGGGCTCCAGGAGAGGGGGTCGCGGCAGAGGGAGAGGCCGTGGCCTCGTGGCTCGCCCGAGCTGCCCGCGAGGCGCGCTATCTGATCCGAGCTGCAATGGAACGAGCTCCTGTTCCTGAGGTAGGCACGTCTGAGTATATTTCGTACTATAATTGCAAAAGAAGAATATTCGTACTTATAATTGCAAAAAACGAGTATGTTTATTACTACTGGCAATCTTCTCGGTAAATTTTTGGTGATGAATTTAGAAACTATTAGCCTGCTATTTATGTTCTTGTATGCAGCATTGCAAGCGAATTTAGATAAATATATATACTACATTGCTGCAACTCCTGCCACACTATTTATACACACACACACACACACACACACACACACACACACACACACACTAGGAGCAAATTAATTTGCAAACGAGTAGATTCATCGCTTTGTACATAGTTTCATATCTACTTATATCGACTACACCGGCTTATTGCGCCCATATGGATGTTCTTAATGACAGGACAAATGTAAATTTCACAGATGGTTGGCATCAATCTGAATCTTTGATTCATAACTGTAACTTCTCCTTTTCCCTGAAGATTCTACGATAATGTTGTGATAAAAGCATCCACCTTGTCGTTCATCCCTCTTGACAGAAACTTCATGCAGATTGGAGGTTTCACCTTGGCAAGAGCAAGCACCGACTGAGGCAGAACCCACAGTCCATCGCCGCAAATCAAGCCGGAAGCAACTGCAGGTGCAAATGTTTCCGATTTGGCTCTGTCCAGCCTTTGCCAGACAAAAAGGATCACTGTCCCGATGAACATGTCGATGGCGAAATACGATCCTATGTAGAATGGGATTGCCATCGCCATTGGGATTGGTATGAAGTTTGATACCTTCTTGGGAACAAGATCTCTTATCAAGTTGACAACGATTGCTCCAACAAAGAATATGTAGCAGAGAGTAAGGCAGTTCTTTGGTAGCGATGAGAAGCCATCGACACCTAATATTGCCATGCTGCGGAAAATGGCAGCATTTGGTGCAGGGTACTCAGTTCCACTGATCCCAATATTATCAAAGGCCTTGTAAAAAAGCCAGAAAACACAGGGAGCAATTACGCAACCCATTGCAGTGCCTATGACTTGGCTGATGAACATTGACCTTGGTGAGGCCAGTGTCAGGTATCCTGTTTTGAAGTCCTGCATCAGATCAGCAGCAGTAGAAACAATGCTCATCATCACACCACAGGCAGCCAGACCTGCAAGAACACCTCCATGTGAAGCACCTGTCCATGCACCGAAAGCAAAGATTGCGAGCTTTCCATAAGTTGTAACGAGAGACCAATCAGTGAGGCCAGTTCCATAGGCATTGCAGAAGGCAAGTATCGGTGCTACGATATAGGCTACCAATATTTGGTACCACTTCAGCTGAGGGAATATCTGCGGGACAGTGCCAATAGATACGGCGGCAACAGCAGCATAGCCTCCATATGCAATGTACCAGGGGATTTGATCCTTTAGAAAGAGTTCATTGCGTCGCTCCTCATCGTATGATATAGCTGCAGTACTGTTACTTGGTTCATCATCAGAGATTGGAAGTGTACTAGCGCTACTCTTCTTGTGTTGAGATCTTAATGACCAGGCTGTGAGAATGAGCATCTTGAGAAAGTTGTAGAGGCCATCACCGAGAATCAAGGCAATGGCTATGAACACCTGTAATTCCAATTGAAATTTAGTAGAAGAAAGGAAAACTCAGGCTTCAAGAAAGAGCGTTTTCTTACCCGGTAACCTTGCATTCCATGAAGACTAGTATCAGCAAGATCGGCAGAGAACCAAATACCCCTTTTCTTGGCTATGAGAGGCCACATTATTCCCCATGACAGGATGCCTCCAAGGAGAACAGATACATTCACAATATGTGGGCAAATAATTCCAACTCCGACATAGGTAGGAGAGAAGTCAAAGTAAAACCTTCAAAAAAGAAGTTCGATTAAGGAGAACTTTGAAAGAGTTGTGCTCTGCAGATTTGAACGATACTTCAAATTCAGAAATCAGAGTAAGAACATGATGTAATGACGGTTCGCCTCGCCTAATTAAGTCTCCTCCAGAGCTGGAGAAGGCTGAGGCTTAAGGACTCCAACACGTCAAATTGTCAAAACAGGGTGCACACAATTAGCTAACACGAACCTTGATTCTATATAAATTATGTAAACTAATTGTCATGCTAACTATTTTTTTGTTTTAGTGGTCGGCAAGTCATATTACTTTTCGTAGGCCGGGTTCGAGAAAACACAAATATAACCTTATGAACAATTGGTTGATTTTGTAGAAAACAATTAACCATATCCTTGTGTATACAAATAATTAATTGATCTGGTTCATAAACAAAACAATGTGCATTCCAGGGGTTAGAGGGTTCCCTAATTTTCTGTAAGGCCCAGGTTCAATTTCGACTGCTTTGGCAAAAAGAGCCTCCATGTATAGTTCACCCAAGCGCGAGTGGTCCAAGATACGCCGACGTGGCAGCCACGTGGACGGTTTTTTCTCTTCTGGATCGGTTTTGGCTTTAACTGAAGAAATAAACGAGCTTGCTTCCTAAATCGATCACTTCCCGAGTTGTTGGATTAAAGTGTGCAACGAGTTTAAGTTAATGGACTAACGACGCATCATTCTTTGGAGAAATTTGACTGGAGACGTCCTTTGCAGGGTCTACAGTCTTTACCTGTTTTGGTAAGCTTGCAACCCTAATGATGGGAATTGGTTGAATCCACAAGTATCGGTGGCTGTGTAGAACCACTGAAAGAAACCCCAGAAGAAGCTGAGCACGAAGAATAAGCCCAGTTTCTTTACTTGCTTCCTGTGAAACGACGCAAACCAAAGCAAAACTCGTAAGCTCATCGTGTACAGATGTGACTAGCTCAAAAATAGAAATGGTTGCAGTATTTACACTGCAATCTTGGCACCATGGGGCGTGTGAAAGCCGTTTATGAGATAGGCCGTTGCAGTGCCGCTTGGATAGGTCAGCTTGTAGTCGATGATCATGATCTGAACAGTGCTAATTTGGTTAAAATGTTGTGCACATGATTGCTTGAGAAAATAAATATTGGAACATAGAACGATTTTACCTTCCTCAGAGGAACTAGACCAAAGAGCCCAATGAAGCTGACAAGGAGGAGGAAACCAATTATCCATCCAAGATGCGGATTCTTGATATTTTGAGGGTTATTTGCCTCATCTGCCTGGGAAGCGATTCTATCACTCATGGCCAGTAGGTAGTTACCAAAGCCACCTGAAAGACGTGGATGAGTTACTCGTGAAATAGGGGTCCTGGGCAAGTGCTTCCATAAAATTTAACTCTTTGCCAATATCATTTATAAAAGAAGATCCAGAGAAATCCACAAAAGAGGTTAGTTCCAAAAGAGAAATTTGCTTGACATATTCATGTAGAAATAACCAACAAGCTCGACATGTATCTAAGAAGCTTTAAAATTTGCCTCTTGTGGGCTATAGTCTGTAATTCGTCCTGGCCTTTGGTCTTTTTGCAAAAAAAGAAACGAACAAAAGAGTTTGTAATCCGTAAAGTTGTTTGAAGGGTGACTTAGTATGTAATGAGCATGTGTTCAAAAAGAAAAAGTATGTATGAGCATGCCAGTAATCAAAACTCGATTTTGTTACTTGTCAGTATCGAAAATCAATATTTGAAAATCGCGAAAGTGATGGACGTGCTGCCACAAGAATTACCGCTGAAGGAGATGCCGTAGGCGGCGACGACGCAGGTCTGGATGACGGTGTTCTCCTGCCGGGTGAAGGGCTGCCTGAGGAGGCCGACCTTCTCCATGGCGGCCGTCCAGAGGCGGACAAAGAAGAAGCTGAGGAGGCCGGCGGAGACGTTGAGGGAGGGGATGATGCCGACGGTGAGGTTGAGCTTCATGACGATGACGCTGAACATGGTGGCCAGGAAGAAGCTCGCCACGAAGGCTCGCACCGTGAGCTGCTCCCGCCACGACGGCACGCGCTGGTCCGCGAACGCGCGCTCCACGGACGGCGCCTCGTCCTCCTCCGCAGCGGCGACGGCGCCCCCGCCGCCGCCCTCCCCGTCGACGCGCGGCTTGTTCCGCCGCCGGAGCTCGCTCGCCTCCACCATCTCCACGTCGTCAGCCGCGGCCGCGTTCGAGCCGGCGGCGTGCTGCATGGCGGTGGCCATGTGGCTGCAACCGAGCAGGACAACGACGCACCACGGACGCTGCCTTTCTAGCTCGAGGTGGCCGGGCGGAGGTGCACGCCGCAGGCCGGAGCCTTTGGTTGGTTTATATGCAGGGCAGCAGGGGTGCTTCCACAGCTCCACTGAGATGACGAGAACGGCCGGCCAGGCAAGGACAACGACGGCCCGCGTGAACGTAGGCTCGACGCCTTCTGGTTTTGACTTGTACTACGTACCTCTGTTCCTAAATGTACATTTTTTAATAGAGGGCGTAGTTTGTAAGCATGTGCATCTGGTGTACAGTTTTTTCACATTTGACATAGTTGGCATCTACTATTATTGATGTGTCTGCTTAAGTCGGGTTATTATTCTTTCTGTGTAAGCAACCTTCTCGTCGATATATAGCAAGATACATATGGTGAATTTACCAATCTTGAAGCTCCCAGACTCGGGTCCCCATACTCTTTATCTTCAAGTGATTAACCAATTGGATGAGATAACTCCATCCCGCAAAATCGTTATACGGTTCGTCCAAAAATGATTTTGCCGGAAGTTATGGCCCACCACAAAAATAGATCTCGTAAAAGCGTACGCGAAATTTAAAAACTTGCATAAAAGTTACGTTCCTCGTTACATAGTTCGTCTAGAACACACGGAGATAACCATACATAAAACTAAAACATAGATAAAGATAGATCTAGCTGCATCGCGGGCGGCGGCTCACGGCTTGTCGTTGAGGTAATACTTGTTCGCCGGCCTCAAAAGAACGTTGGTGAGCTCGTACTCTTCCATAGTCGCCTCAAGCCGTTCAGCGGCGCCATCTTCACCGGCCGCCACCGCTTCCTGTGCAGCGGGGAGCTCAATCTCTGGCTCATGCAACCTCTTGGTGGTTGGTCAAAGAGCGTCATCGAGCTTGTGAAAGCGAGCCCACGCCCCCGGCCACTGCCGCAGGAGAGCGCGCCGCGTTTGCGCGCCTGCTTCGAGTGTCTCGACGGCAGGCTGACTGGGGCTACCGACCCCCATGTCGTGTCGACCGCGCTTGCATGGCGGCGACCCGCCTTGGCCACCATGCCCGCGTGCCCCTACCACCATGGACTCCCACCATGGACTAAAAGAAATGGATGGGCCACCGCGGAATCTTTCGTCAGAGTTTGGAAAGGGAGATGACGGAGGAGAAAGAATACAGCGGAGGAAATGAAGGATGGGAACCCTAAATCGCCTAGCGGCTGGCTGGGGGGCGGGTGGGGTGGGTGTTTGCGGGCCGCTCATATATTTTTTACGGGTCGGGCCAAATATATTGCATCTGTTCAGGCCACAACAAGAGCAAATACGCTAAATCCGTCGAAAATATGTGGGCCGGTGAGGTTATGCGGCATCTTCTAGAGTTGCTCTAAATCGTCCTTAAAATTTGAGAAAAAAGTTTGGGAAGTTAAGTTTAGGGTATGGACTAGGTGCAAGCCTCTCAACACCTAAACATCACTCGAAAGAGTTTATGGAAACACTAACACCCACACGTGTGGGCGTTAGCCAACTCGTCCACACGCGTCGATCATCGTCCATTGCCTTCTGCACGAATCTTGGCACGAAAAGGCTGATTTTGTATGCCACGTAGGACAAGTCGCGTGTGTGGTGTGTAAGGGAGTTTGCCCGCACGCCGTTTTCCCTCCAAGGTCAGCGGTTGCGAGTCGGGGCATGTGGTGGAATTGTCGTCGCGTTCGCACGCCACGCCCGACTTCGGTTGCCGTCTCCCACGTCTCGCCACTTCGCTCTTCCCTCGCTGTTCAGTTACTCCCCTCCCCATTCATTACTCCCCAACCCACCCATCCACACCAATTGCATTCGATTGAGGAGAAACCGAGAGGAGAAGGCGACGACGGCGGCGGGAGACTCGACCGCATTTGTGGCCGTTGGTGGGGCTTGCCGGACCGAAGCGTCGTCGCCGGAGAGCCGCAGATTGAAGGTAAGGCTCCCTCCCGTGCTCACATTTCCTGCCTGAGATTTTGCGCCCCCTCCCTTTATGGTCAATCTCCGCTCAATTTTCCTCGAGATTCCGGCCGATTCGCGGTGCTCCGGCGTCCCCGTCGGCGGTGGAGTCGCGTGCTTGCCATTTTTAAGGTGGCAATGTGCAGTTTCGTCGCCGACGCGGTGGCAGTCATGCCTGTGTGGGCCAAATCAGTCCCCGTCCCCGTCCGCAGCCAAATTTTTCCTTGCGATTGAGCGAGCGATTTTTCCAGATGTTAGTTATGACTTGCCTCGAAATGCTATGGCCATCAATGTAGGGAGTGTTTTGTTTGTTAAATTTCAAGGTATGATAGTTGCGAATGAACCCTAGATCTAGGTAGGTGCATTTCAAAGTGTAGGATAATGGCAGCCATGGCATTTTCAACAACTATCATTACTTGATGGCAACTAATTTCCTGATCAGCCATGTCAATTGCCGCGAATATGTTTTCCATGTGGCAACTAATTTTGTGAACACACTATGGCTGTTGCCATGCCACTACCATCACTGATGGCAACTAATTTCCTGATCAATTGTGCCAGTTGCCACGAACATGCTTTCCATGTGGCAACTAATTTTGTGAACACACTATGGCTGTTGCCATGCCACTGTCATCATTGATGGCGACTAGTTTCCTGATCAACCGTGTCAGTTTGCCATGAATATGCTTTCCATGTGGCAACTAATTTTGTGAACACACTATGGCTGTTGCCATGCCATATGCAGGACAATGGCACATTCACTGTACAATAGACTCAGCTTGCGTTTGCCATGCTGGCTTGTGATACAAGGCCAGGGCGTGAGTTGCCACATTACATGTTGTTTAGTGGAAGTTGTCTGCCCTTTTTTTTCAAGTGCCTCGTGTTTGACATGGCAACTTTGAACCTAGTACCTTTGCTGCTTGTGAATACATGGCAACTCATTTTTATGTGAGGCCAGGGTGTGAGTTGCCTTATTACATGTTGTGCAGTGGAAGTTGTCCGCTCTTTTTTCGAGTGCCTTGTGTTTAACATGGCAACTTGAACATTTTTAAAGTGCCTTACGATCTGCACATTTTTTATGAAGCCAATGTGTTTAGTTGCCCCCATTTCATGTTGGACAGTCCTAGGGGGGTGGGTGCTCCTATGATCTGCCTCATTTGCCACTTTCAAATGAGCCAATATGGCAAGAAGATTCTGCTAGCTGGCAACTGCTTCCTTCAGTAGCACAGACAAGTCCAGTTGCCATGTTTCTGCAATTGCTTTTCCATTTTGATTATTTTTCTGCCTTTTTGTGCATGTTCATCACATGGCAATTACTGCCCTCTTCAAAATGCTTAAACCTTGGGCCAACCATTTGAGTTTTCATTTGTTTTTCATCGAAGATATCGAGTGAAGTTACTTTATGTATTTCTTTCCGTATCCATCGGTTGTGTTTTCATTTCACCCTAACGTGTGTTTTGTTCTTATCGTAGCACAACGGCTCACGGAGACCATCAAGATGATGATGATGACTTCATGGATGCACCGCAACAGAATCGCATGACTGGTCGGGCAAAAGATGGCGATGAGGTTGTCGGTGTTCTGGGAATGGGGGTCCCCAGACTTGCCTGCCTGCGGCCTGCGGCGTGGCTCAAGGGGCGGCCCAGCATGGCCCATCTTCGTCAACACGAGCTCAAGACCCTCGCGAGGGGCCAAGCCTCGCGGGGCGGACGACAGGAGGCTTCCTCAGGCACGGCCTCGTCAGGCTGGCTCACGAGAAGGCGGAGAGATCAAGGCGGGGTACCTCGCGAGGTGCCCATGACGCAAGCCATGACGACCAAGGGCGCCAGGCGGGCGCCAGCCCGCACAGTGTCCTTCTCTCCTCTTTGGTGCAAAGGGGGCAAGCGCAGGCGAGAGCATCAAGCAAAGGCATCCATTTCGGTGCAACGAGACCAAGACCAGCAGGACGGCAGGATGGAAGTCATCGTGGAGCCCAAGCCGGCGTCACCACCAGAGCCTTTGACAGGCGAGGACCAACTTTAGTCAGGATAAGTGTACTAGATGTTCCCCTTCAAAATGGCCAATTGTTGGCGCCCTTCCCGCTCAATATTTGGGAAGAGGCCCAGGGCCTTTGCCTATAAATAGGACTAGCCACCCCCAGGGTAGAGGCAGGAAAAGAAGCATCGAGAGAAGCATCCAAAGAGAGAGCGACTGAACTCCCCCCAGCAGTTCATCGCACCAGCCAAGAACAGACCCTCGCGAGGCTGTTCTTCCTTGTACTGTTCATCATCAGCCCAAGAGGCAATCTACCACGCCACAAACTAGAGTAGGGTATTACACCACAATGGTGGCCCGAACTAGTATAAACCCTGTGTCTCTTGTGTTGTTCCCTTTCGTAGCTTAGATCCTAGCAAGGCGGCGAAGTGCAAGTAGGCAGAAGGTCAAATCTCCGTGCGCACCCCATTGTTTGAATCTATAGGGTCTGCCGGAATCCGAAATCCGACATTTGGCGCGCCAGGTAGGGGTGCGCCAGAGCTTCTCCTTCCGCCAACCCGCTCTCCGCCGACACCATGACTCACCCTGCGATGAGCGGCGCGACGTCCGCTCCGGTCGTCGCGGCCCTCCTGGGCGGCTCGCAGGCGCCACCTTCGGGCCGCCATGTCAAGCCATTCGTCCGCCAGGTCGGCGCCGTTTCCACACGGCAGGTGGCTCCCTCAGGTCGGTCGGCGCCCAAGCCCGATCTGGCCTTCAGCTCAAAGGACCACCCCTCGAATTCAGCTTGCTCGGGCGCGCTCCGACGTTGTGCACTCCCACCATCTGCCAAGTGGCCGTCACCAGGACTCTCATCGACGGCGGCTCGGGCCTCAGCGTGCTCTCGATTGAAGCTTTCAGCCTCCTCCACATACCACCGGAGCGGCTTCGGCCCAGCCGGCCCTTCTTGGGCGTCGGGGGCGGGGCCACTAGCTCCCTGGGACAGATCCGTCTCCCGGTAACCTTCGGCACCTACGACAACTTCCGCACGGAGCTGATCGATTTCGACA